ATCGTATGTGAGTCAAGGCTACAACGTCAAATTGCAAGTTATTCATGACCCAAACAGAAAAAAAGGCCCTTTTTACTTTTTTAACTGCCCTAGATATGTCCGCCAAAAAAGAAACTCTCTGTAAACTGAACATATGTGCGTGCTTATAGCTTGCACAGAACTAATGTGCATAACATTCCCCATGTGGCTTGAATCAAACATATTTCCAAAATAAATGACAGCGGTGTCTCGCTTCTCCCTCAGTTGTGATGCTCTTAGACATACCGATAACAGATTTCATCTGAGATCTTTCATGTATCAGGACCTGCAGAAGTATCTAGTTTCCTAACAAAGGAACCTCACAAAAGGAAACGGTTACTCAAAAAAATGAAATTCTGAAACAAAAAATGGGGAAACAATGACGCAGATGCAGAATCTGAATCGAAGCAGCATCGACCGAACTAATGGAGGAGTGAGACTGAGGCTTTACCATAGTAAAAACAACTGGATCATCGTCTTGTTTGCGTAGTATTTGTCATCCCTCATCAACACACCATCTCTAGGACAGACTCCAGCCGCAAATCCTGCTCGTAATTATTGCCTTTCTAACAAATATGCTGGCAAAACACAAGCAATTCTTTAGTTCTTTTAAAAAAAAGTTCTTTAACGCATCTTGAGAACACATTTTGGGATGTTCTGAACTCATGAAATAATGTTCTCTGAACATTTAAAACATTTAAAAACATTTTTTTCTCTACTTATTCCAGAATTGCGGGTACATTTCAAGTAGAGAAAGAGATTTTTTTTTTCTGTTAAACTTTTTTATTTTCATAGAATGCAGTTTAAATTCAACATTTTCAATATTTGCTGATCTTAAACTTGTAAGATTTAAAATATTAAGACAATCTGTCAACTCTGTTATATACAAATTGGGTTGACGATAACAGAGTTGACATTTTCCACCATTTTGTGCTTTAGCTCAAAATGCTAACCTCAAACCAGATACCACATGGCATGTCTAAAAACAGAATTTTATGGGTTTTCGCCATATTATCGTTTTTTTTTTAAAGTGAATGAGAGATTCACTGCAATATCACAATAATAGATTTGACAAATACTTAATCTACTATTGCTGGTGTATCCTAAACATTTTGTACAAATTAATGAGAGAAGAATAATGACATACTTCACTGCTTTCCAGAATTTCCCACCAGAGGAAGTGACATCATTTGGTGCAATTCACATGCTTTTTTCTACAAATGCTTATTTTGTTTTATAACAGAGTTGACCAGAACGTAGGGACAGACACAAAATCTATTTTTTTATTAATTAAATTGCATAGAATATATATTTTCTGTATTATTATAGTTGTTTATATAACTTAATAGAGTAAACACAAAAAATATTTGAAAATTAAACTTAATTGTTTCATGATAATTCAAGTGTAATGTATGAATCAGGAGGCAGAGACAGTCAATAATAGGTGGAGTGGGAGTCATTTAGTTAATATTTCCATTTTTTTTTCTAAATATACATAAAGCATTATTTTTTAGAAATAGTTTAATATAATTTGTGTTATTATTCAAAACTGATTCAAAAAAGTTTTTTTTTTTTTTTAAATAAAAGAAGATTTATCTGGGAGACTCTAAATGTAGGCTACCCCTGATTCTAGAATGACTCGGGAACGTTCCATTTCGCAAACATTATTGGAATGTTACTTTAGAATATTCTCTGAGCGTTCTGAAACAAGTAGTAACATTTAAAAAATGTTAGACGAACTAAAGCGTTTCAGAAAAAAACGTTCCACGACCTATAAATGTTTTTGACAACGTTATTAAACACCAGATAACTGAATGAATGTTCTATTATGGAAGTTTGAGAGAACCTTGCCAGAAAGTTCCATGTTAGCAGGGATGCTTACTAATTATTACATTAATCGAAAGCAGACAGTGTTTAGGATTTTCATATGTGTATAGTCCCCGGAGTAAACCATGAGATTAGTCATAGAAAATGTCTCATTCTTTATCATCTTCCTGGAAAGACTGCGCCGCATGTCGCATCCTCTTTGGGCGCAAACATACTGTTCAACACAACCTGTCAGATGTTGAGGGGGAGTCAAAAGGAAAGGGAAAGCGGGTTCAGCGCACAATGTGGTTCTGTTTAGGGGTGAGCCGTGTGGGTCTCGGAGAAAGAGGTCTCTGCCAAGAACATTGCTCTCATTTCGTTGCAAACAATCCGAGAGCGAGGGGGATCGGAAAACACGCCACAAATCATTTCTACGACCATGTATTTTAGATGACGTAGGCGATTTAATCACGAGATGTGCTCAAACACAGTTCCGCGCTGATTTCTTCCATTAACTTTTATGACATTGGGAACTAACTTATTTTAACATCGTTTTTCCCTTCTGAGAGATAAAACGAGCACAAATGAACGGGGGATGGAGGCTGTTCTTATAAATGCTCAGACAACAAAGGCATTATGTTTTTCAAACCTGCGGACTCTGCAGTTCCAACAACGTTGTCACTTGTCACTCACTTTGGGTTGCGCTCAGCTGTTTGACCACCCATGGTGGCGCGTCACCCTTTACAAACAATTCAAATTAGGCAAGCAAGAACGAAACAGAGTGAGAAAACAAAGCGTTTCATCTTGTTGGGCTAAAACTTTATTCTTCACCCTTTTAATTGAGCCTGAATGACCTTCCATCAGATTTTGACCTTTAATCTTGGCTTTTGAGCCATAGCAATATATAAAGTTTAGAATAAGAAAGAACAACTTTAGGCAACTTTTTTGCATGTACTATGGAAAAAAAGTTTGTATAAAACAAAACAACGTGTTGTTATACATATGTATGAATGTATGTGTGTGTGTATGTATATATTTGTACATTTTCATTACTTTTTACTATTACTAATTCATTAAAAAAGGAGAAATGTTGTAAATCATATATTTAACTTTTCTTTTTCATTCAGGCTTTCAGTCCTGTAAATAATGGTTGGTTGCAGTGCAGGGGGACAGTCAGTGGGTTCAAACCCCCTCCTCTTCAACCAAAGCACCTCCCCTCGACCTATCAGGGTAATTCACTTACTTTTCTCTTTCTCACAAGGGCTATAGTGCAGTTTTCCATTCAGGGGAACATATCCCGTGACAATAACGGACTCCTCCAGGCATTCCAAGACATCTGAGGTATTTCGGCTTCAATCTCCTGATTATTTATGCATCAGTTTCAACGAAGCGCGCATTATATGCACCCCGATTTTAATTTAAAATTAAGGAAAGATTGAATTTAAATGGGCTTAAGAAGTTGGCTGCTTTGCAAAATTTCATTTGAAGCAAAAAAAGACCTAGCGGTGACGTAAACCGGCGTTTATTTCCCTCAGTCTGTTGACCGGCTAACTCAATTAAAACTCGAATAAAGGTATTATTCTGCTACATGACGGAGAAGAAATTAAGTTTAAAGGTGAGAAAAGTTTAAATATGAACAAAAAAACACGTAACTTTCAATGAGATGCTTAGAAATAGCCAACTTTAAACTGTTTAAACGCGTAACATCTGCAACTGTCCCATTGGTGTTCGTGAAAATCGATTAAATTACAACAGTTATCAATGGAATATTGGAAGCCTTTTAAATGTAATCGCGAAATCTGTCGTAATGTGTGTAAGGCATCGTGAAAGCGCTTGACTCAGCAAACTCAACTTTTTTCTTGCTACTTTTTCTCTTTAGCTCACAAGGGAAACGCTCACGTGCTGTCATTTTTTTAACGTCATAATTAAAGTACAAGATGTTGAATTGTGTCAACGCGTCTGACGTCATTGAGCGCGGAAAAGCGGACGATGTAATTCATAATACCTTCGAAAGATGATTGTTGTCATTGATGGGTTTTTTTTCTTCTTTGTTCGCGTCGCGATTAGCACCGCCCACCTGAAAATTCCTCAGACTTTCCCTCTCAGATTTACCAGACCTGTCATCATCAGATGAACTGTGATTTAACCGACTTTATCATAATCTTCTCATTAAACCAACTTTTATCAAGTAGACGCAGTTTTTGATGTAAAACAATATTGTATTAATTTTGCAGATGCTTTGATCAAAATATACTTTGCATTCAAAGTTCATCAGAATATAAATGTATGTACATGAATAAGGTTGTCCCTCTTTTATGTTTTTTTTTTGTAGCAGTTTTCTAGCAGTTAGATCCACCAACTCTTCAAACTTTCCTTCTCAGACTTACTAGCCTACTAGACTGTCATCTTAGATGGAGTAGGCCTACTGTAATTTAACTACCTTCTCATTAAACCAACTTTTTAAGGCTTTGATGTTTGTAAAAGCAACTTACAGTGCAATAAAGATATATATTTTAATATGGAAAACCATTAAAGATTTGTGGAGACATCCAGTTTACTTTTGTTAAAGAATGTCCTTATTAAGCAGTATGCCCACTTTGCAGAGGTTTTATATTTGCAGTTGTTCCTTAACACAAATATATCATGCTGAAAAGAAAACCGTAAAATCTCACTGTGTCGTTTTGCCACCCCCTTTCTGCCATGGCTCTAAATCTTTTGAGGCCCATTATTTACCCTAAAATCTTAGTTTTAATGAGCCGGTTGAGGACAAAACCAGGAGTCCAATCTTGGCCAGGAGTTGGTTATTTCTACAGCGAATGTACACTAAGACAGTCTAAGAGGGCCTGTAAAAGGATGCTGGCTGGCGCTTAAAGTGCCGTACAGTTTGCCTGGAATAATACTACACTTTATAAAAAAACTCCATCATCGACCGTGGGCGATTTAATGGATAAATTTATGAGGGGGCACATTTGTTCGTATGTTCACTGTGTATACGCCAAATAAACTAAGCAGTAAAAGTAAAAACAATGAATATAAGAATGCAAAGGTAATAGTAAGCTTTTTGTCTTCTCTTTTTTTACAGCCTTCAGCCTGGAGTGCTCTTGGATCACACAAGTTCGCATCTGAAGAGCTCATTGGAAAAGAAGAGTTTTACTGAGGGTGAGGCACGTTTAACGGAGCTTAAGGAGTCGCACAGCAGGGGCCAATGGGAGTGTGGAAGCTGGCCAAGGTGGTTCTCGGATGGGCTGCGGTCTGGTGGGCCACGGTCTATTCAGTGCAGGCACAAGGAGATGGAGACATCCAGGCCAGCCGATTCACTGGAAAACCCGAGGGGGAGGTGCAACAGAGGGTCCGTCGGAGAGGCCAGGAGTCCCTCAGGGGGTAAGAGCTTTTTCAGTCACGTCCTGCTCCTGTTCTCTGTCGGTTTCATTCTTGAAGTGTACATGTTTATGGTTTAATCATGAGGCGGAGGGTTTAACTCAGCTTTTATTACCAGAAATACAGAAAAATCATTTCAGGGTTGGTGTATCTCATCCTAAAAGCTTGAATTCAAAGCAAACATAAGTTTCTTCAGACAGTGCAATAAATGCCTTTTTTTTTTGGTTGCTGCAGTAGATTTCTGTTGCAACCTGCTGTGCTGTTTGGGTTAGAGCCAAACTGGGTTGAAAGCACGATTGGTCTCTAAAAAAGCAACATGTGTTGGAGTGTTATGAATCTGCTGTGAAGGAATTTTAAGTACTGAAATGCCTTAGTATGTTGGTCATGACAACAGGAGTGTCATTTACAACTGATAACTTAAGCTGTTGAAAGACATTATTGTTTGGCTATCGCAAATTTTACGTCTACATAACTCCTAGAAGAATGCATAGTGTTTTAGGTCTCAAGTTTCTGCTGAAATTTGAGGTAAACACACTTAAAAATATATTGAAAGCGGATTGATTGTGTGATCAAGCCCTCCAGTGCCTCTCAAACTATGCATCTGCATTTGTCTCCACAAAGCCTAAGCTGTGTATTTTTCTAATTTTTGGGAAAACAATGGCTGTTTTGTGTTGCGCTGCCCTCGTATGTTCGAAACGGTTATTCCAATCATCCTCTCATCTGTACTTGCTTATAACTCCCCTGCATACTGCAACAGGAAATGAGGTATTCTGATATTCTGGGGCAGAATGAGCATTTCACAACAGAGACATGTCTCCAATTCATGGATCCTTATTTAATCAGGAAAGGGGTTTACAGTTTAGGTCTGAAAGAAATCTAGCAAGGTCAAACAGAAACTTCAAGATTAGCACTGTGGTTAGCGGTCCAGGGTATATACTGAATTCCAGAAACAATAGCGACATTCTGTACATGTACACCAGTTCCATAAGTGGGACAAATGGTAATTGACCTGTATCGCACCCAAAAGTGAGTTTTCCAGGGAAATTAAGAGGGAGAATCTGATCCGGTCGGTGAAGCAGAACCATGTGGCAGCAAGTCAATTGAGAAATGTGCCACAGTGCCCTTTTGAGAGCCAATGCTAAACACAAACTAGCCCAGAGGGATGGAGGGACTTGCACGGTTTCCAGATTGTTCCCGTCTAACAATTCCCTTTGTTCATGGCAAGATGCTGAACTTAAGACCCTTCATTCAAATGTTGTAGCTGTTTTGTCGTAAAGAAAGGTCTAATCACTTCTAAGCACGATCTGTAATCCTATTTACATACCAACACAGTGTAAGAATGTTTCTCAAGTACGCTGATTATAATGATGTGGCACAAAATTGCACATTTGATCAACTGCAGAGTCACCGACCGAGAAAGCCATGTTATCCAGGGTCAGACAGTTTAAGAGAGTTACAGTATGTGATTTGAAGCTCACTGGCTCTCCTTGCCAAGCATAATTTGGCTGTCAGATTTGAGGAGTCTGATCACATTGCATTTGGGGGCCTCTTAAATGAAGGTAAAGTCTGGGAGACTGCTGTAAAAGCAATGGGCTTGGGGTGAGATTATGATTATGTGGTTCTCGTCTATCGATGCCAACCCTGACAAGTTTTGATGAGTACAAAGCCAGTCACCGTGCTCATGGTTGATGTTTTTAGAAGTGGCTTGGCCAGGGTTTCTTTTCATTTTCTCAACATGTCTCTGAGGCAATGTCAGCTCCACTGGACTCCAAAGATGGGCTCGAGTTCTTCCAGAACGCTTGATGTTTGCATCCCAAGAGAGACTGAGTTCTTTGTCTTGGATTTATATTCTTTTAACAGCTGAAAGAACATGCCAGTCAAAGGAAAACAATCCTTCTTGGACACCAAAGAGCTTGGTTGAAGCCAACAACATTTTGTTGTGGGATTGTTCTTTGTAGAAATACATTAGGAATATGAACAGAAAAATGGCCCCTGGAAATGGGACCAAATTCATTTTAATATCTCTTGCGAAAATGACCCAACTGAGAAAAAAGAAAAGCCGTATGTTTTTATTTTTTTCAGTGGGGTTTGTCATCTAACCAGTGGAAAGGAAGACGCAGGTCTGATAAGTGTATCCTTATGTGTGCATAATAGCATGCCCAGAAATTCTTATCGTCTTATCAAATGTACTCAGTGTATTGTACCAAACAATAAAAACTTAAGAGCTAATTGCTTTCTGGTGTTTATTCATGATACCATCAGTCGCTCCAGAACTCCAAAGTGTCTTGTAGACCAGCTTAGGCAAGAAAGACATCAGTCTCACATGGTTTTTATGCATGAAATCATATGGAGCGACCCCCTCTTTCCTCATTTCATTAAAAGTGTATAGTCTAGACGGCAGTGTGATTTGAGTTCATTAGGGCCAGGGGCTTGAAACAGGCCAAGTTGAACAAGGAAAAGGTCTTAGAGATCCAGAGGCTTTACGCACTGGGATCTTTGTTAAAACAACCATTAGCTCATTGGCTCGGGACTGGAGCTAGCGGCAATCGTGGGGGCTGGGAGCAAATGTCTCTAAAGTGACCTTTAACCTCTTTAGGAGTGGTAACCGGTGGGATAGAATTGTGCTATCTTTCTGCGCCCTCTCCGTGACATCCCACAAGCCTCAGTGAGAGCTCCTGTTCAGTTTTTATGACCTCACGGAAAACCGGCTGTCAAAGCATCCTGATTTCCTAACTCAGTCTTGTCCTGACCTTTTACCTTACTGGAATTCAGCTTGTGAGGGTTTTTTAGGGCTCAAGAATCGTAAAGTTGACCTGCTTTATCCGGAGATCTTTGGCAAAGAATTGCTTGCAAATCTCTTGCTCGAGGGCTGGTAGACCCTGTAAATGAAAAAGGATTTGACCTAGTGAAGTGAAATGAATTGATCCATGTAGCTGAAGAAGTCACATGGTCTTTCCAAGGTATTTGCCTTGTAGCAAAGAACCCGTTAACAATTTATATCTCTCTTTGAGGTGCCGGTTTGTGTTTGAGATGCTGTAAATGTTCTTCGTTTAGTAGTGGTATATTTGTGGTACATTTAATAGTTTGCACAAGGAGCGCATGTTTGAAATGCATTTTTCTAAGCTGTTTTCTGCTTTCCAGTATTCACTGCATATGCTTCAGAACCACCCAAAATAGTATTCCAGCTGAAAGAAATGTAAACACACTGAAAAGCATTGAATTTAAGAACGAAGAGATTGGTGGTTTGCGTCCAGGGATAATCTTCTTGCCTTCATCCTGCAGGAGTTTTAGACTTAATTTTTCAGGATCCAGTTGAGAAATAAGACTCTTTGGTTCCACACTGCTGATAATTCATCATCTTCTGGCCTAATTTCCGCTGCTGATTTTGTTTTCAACGGCCCACCTCCTACCCCCCACCCCTTTTCCCAAACTCTTCACTTCCACTTGTTTTCTTTACCTCCCACTGATTCTTGCCCTTTCCCCAGCATTTTCCGTTTTCATGTTCCAACATCTAGCCCTCCATTGGCCTCTACTCTTTCGAGTCCTCCACATCTCTCTTGGTTTTTGCTGTTAGTGGTTGTGTCGTCTGGCAATGCGTTTTAAAATCCATCAAAAGATTCAAACTACAGCTGGTTGTCCCCAGGTGACTGACATTAGAAAACATCTTGACTTGTAGAGGAAAGGAATTTATGCGTGTGTGTAGAAAGACAGATGTACCTTGTGTTTTTTTTTTAAAGGTCCATTTACGGCAGGCTTAACTTGGTGCTGATAGAAATAAAACTGTTTTCACAGTGAGTGTCCAGGTTTGACAGATCCTAAGGGCTTATTGGAAAGAAACCGCTAAAATGACACATTCTGAGGGCGGTTTGCCTTCAAGCTGTCAATTACCAGTTAGTCGTCCTGGATCAAGTCATATACACTAAACAGTGAGGCCCATAACATGGTGCAGGGTTTGTTCATGAGACGCACTGAACTTTGGGCTTGGTCCTGTCATTAATCACATATATCATGACTAAGACAGACGCTTTTGTCTCTGTGAGAAAGTTGCCAAAAAACAGCTAATGGATGAACGCATTTGGGAACGTAAGAGTAGCTTTAGTAAATATTTCTGTCTCAGGAAGTTTAGTTATGGTCCTACTCAAAACAAACTCTTTTTATGTTGTTTCCCAGGAAAAATCCTTTGGGGTCATTGTATGTATTGAGCCTGATTTATTGCAAAGGGTCAGAAGGTCTTTGAGACTGCAGATATTTCATTGTGTTGTATGTTTCTGAGAAATGTTCATGATTAAAATTAGCTTTCTGTAATTTAATGGACTTGTTTCCGTTGTTTCAGGCCCAATGTATGTGGTTCCCGCTTTCACTCCTATTGTTGTCCAGGATGGAAAACGCTTCCCGCAGGGAACCAGTGTATAGTTCGTAAGTATCTGTTTTTTTTTTTAAAGATGCATGCCAAAGATGCCATTTAAACAATTATCTACTCACTTACAGTACACTCACCACAGAGTTAGCGTTTAGCCTTAGGTTAACTGTGGTTAAGTGCCTACAATGATAGCAGGGGATTTGACCCCAAAGCCTTAAACCACAACACAACCCCCAAAAGATAAAGGCTTAGCTTGGGAAGATAAGGGAAATACCCACCAAGACCCAGGCTATGTTTAGTATGCACAGTATGCATATACTTTAAAGTCTTTGTGTGCAACAAGTAACTTTAAAAATATATAATTAATGCTTCTGGTGTTTTTACATCCATTCAAATACCAGCCATCTTGGAAAACAACATGATTATTTTATCCCATGCATATAAAAATGCATATAACGTGCACTGCATTTCTAGTTGGAGCATAGGAACATATTAAACATAGCCAAAGTCTTTTGTGGGGGAAAAAACTCATTTAAACCCAACCTGACCACCTAAAGAAGTGACCAAAACCCCTCTAAAACCATCCTGCTAAACTAGATATGACCAGGCTGGAAGTCCAGCCAACCATCTTAGTCCTAAAAATGCAAATAATTAATTCTTCTTCTGTGTTATATCTCTGTTCAGATCAAAAGGCCTTTGCTAAGCACTTCTCATGAATATTTTTGTCTCTCCAGCAATCTGTAGGAACTCATGTGGGGATGGTTTTTGTTCGAGGCCCAACATGTGCACATGCTCCAGTGGTCATCTTGCCCCTAGCTGTGGGGCGGCCGCAGGTGAGTTCAGTCATTTCGGTCTGCTTTTGTTCTTTGTGGGCCATTAGAAAAACACATTGTGACTAGTTAATTGCATTAATTTAGCATTTTTGGGTGCTTTTATTCATAGACATAGTTTAGAAATAGAGAAACATGATATGAAAATGACTTCTAACAACGTTTGGAACATGCGCTCTAACCGCTAGGGCTCTGACTTTAGATGTGTTCAGTTTTTTAAAGGGAACCTTTTATGCATTTTCACATTTTCATCTTTCTTTACTGTGTAATGTTGCTGTTTGAGCATGAAAAAGCTCTGCAAAGTTACACAAAGTCCCTCCAGCGGGAGTTATTCTCTATATCAGTGTCACTGTTTCTGAAACTTTGTAGTCTTTAGTTTTCTTCTGAGGACGGACACGTCACAATATTCCTCATTGAAATAATTTAAACGCAGGGCCTGGTTGAGTTAGTTAGTAGTGTGTTGAAACCAAGCGGACAACCTTTTGGTCTCTCTCTTGAATCCAACACGGAAGTGACTTAAACTGCAATTCATTGACTGGCCACTAGAGACAGGCTGCAAAAAAGAGTCAATCCCATAGACCACTATATAGACCAAAAAAAGTGGTTTTGGGAGTGACGCGCTGCCAAGATGGCGACGGCCTGCTCCGCCCACTTTGGGCTTCATAAATGCTCTTCAGAAACCTACGGGTGACGTCACGGACACTACGTCCATATTTTTTTACAGTCTATGGTTGAAACTCGCCGTTATGGTAAGGGGCGTGGCATTTCCCAAACACGCCCGAAGAGCTAGACCAATCACATTACACTGGTCCAGCTGACCAATCAGAGCACATTGTGCTTTTCAGACGGAGAGTTCAGGTCTCCATAGAGACAGGAACTAAACAGAGCGTTACTGACAGACTGGGAAGAGAGGAGCTGGAGACAATGGAGAAAATGGGGAAAATCAAGACTTTGTAAAAGAGACACAATAGGTCCTCTTTAATGATACTCTCTCTACACTGCTTACTTCCTTTGTGGTTGAAGGGCTTGTCATATATTTAAACTTTTCTTTGACATTTTCAGTGATTTATCAGGTTAAGAATTGAAATTGAGCAGAGATACAGATGGCTGGAAATACTGTGAAATTGTTCTGACAGCGTGTAGTGTTTCGTCCACTGAATCATTAGCTAATGTCAAGCTAAGAGCGTTTTCTGTTGAGATAGGTTAAATTTAAGACCACATGTCTGCTGGTGAAAGCGTTTTTTTTTACAACAGACTTAGAAAAACGTGATTGATTGTGTTTAGATGGCACTGGGAAAAGTAATGACTGTTGGTTATTCATGGATGAGGTGTTTAGCATTAGCGCAGGTTTCTCTTACTGCACTTGCTCTCTGCCAGCGGCGTCCAGCCGTTTCTCAGCGAATGCCCGGAATATGTGGTCATAGACAAATAAACCCAAATGCACCAAACCATAGGTTTCGGTCTCGTAAGCTGTAAACCCAGAGTCAATTTATTCGCCAATGAGAAATTGACCATCTAATTTAGCTGCCAGTTCCTTGTCTGTTTGAAAGCAAATGCTAAACATACGCTTGTACTCTGTTTTGGCAGCCTTATGGGATTTGCGAGATCGGTAATGCTGTCATTACGCCTACCCGACCGCGTACCGTCTGCAGTGGTTGGGAGCGGCCACATTTATGAGTCAGTTATGAATCTGCAATTACTCCATAAATAACAAGCCGCCACACGAATGTTAGCTGTAGTCATTAGCATCCAAAACATTGCTATCCTCTTTCACTTCATCATTAGTGTCTGATTACCATACGTCTCAATTTAAGCCACTTTTAGCAATGTTATTTTTGTATAATATACTTTTATAGTATACATTTTTCATTTCAGTTTTAGTTATTTTAATACTTCAACTTAAACTCAGTGTTTTTTTAGTATCATTGAGATACAACGCTATCGTTTGAGAAACTATTAGATTTCCTTTTAAGCTCCACAACGTGAACTTGACGTTGACAGGCCACCGCGAGAAAGAAACGGCCATAAAGGACCTCTGTTCCTCGGCCTCGCTCATGTTTCCTGCCGACAGCGTAGCTTGTAAAAAGCTGACAGATGTGACTGCTGCATACAGAGGTGCATTGTGGGGTGGGAGCCTCGGGGAGCCCCGTTTTGTGTGTGTGCTAGCATGAGCGCTTCAGCACGTGCAGCTCACTTAGCATGGGTCAGCGAGCGAGAGCGTCGCCCCTCCACCTGTAGGGGGCCGTCAGCAGGTCTAGCCGATGAAGTCATTTCCTGTGCTTCAGGAAAACACGGCCAGTGCGCAAACATTTACAGGCCTTGCTGTTGAAAGCATGCCATCAGTGAAAAAAAACACATTTGATCTCCATCCAGCAGGATTTTTCATGTGAGATCAAATAAAAATAGGCGAATTTTTACAATAAAAACTTTAAACTTTTACCCTCTTGTTTTGGTTTATTCTTTTTTATGTTCATTTAAAAGGATTAGGTCATGGCAGGCGAAGATGAAAGGAATAAATGAGAAACTGTTATATTTACATATCTTTGTCTGGGATAAGTAGTAGGTTGAATTATGTTCGGGCTGAAAGGTAATGGCACGATGCCTTTGTTTAGACAGAACGAAAGAGCTTGGCAAGAGCAACGTTTTGATGCAACCAATTGGAAAATCAATCTTTTTTAAAACTCATCCCATGATTAATTGTGCTTATGTCATCTGTTTTTTCTTCTGAGTGCAATTTTAAATCGCAATACACAAACTCTATTGAAGTGATTCTGTCTGTGCCGAGAGAATTCCAATTTTGTGAAAATTGCTGGAAAATGAATCTACTCGTTCAGGATGAAAATAGGTTTTTGTTGGCCGAGTAAAATTACTCTTACCAGGAATTCGAATTGGGAGTTGCTGATATTGGAAAGACAATAAATAAGAAGTTTAGTAGGTCTTTCTCAAATACATTCTGTAAGTATGACTGAATCAAATAAGTGAGGGAGTTACAGTAAACTGAAATGTACATCAGTGTAATGGCAAACGTACAGTTGAAGAACTATAATCTGGTGTAAAAAGCATTTCTCACACAGTTTTTCATGAAATAAAGACATTTCACTACAAGAAAAATACTACATGGAAACTTTGGTGAATATGTTTTAGTGATGACGTGAAAGAATCACTGAATCAGAGTTTTCAATCAATTCCATTCCATTTACATTTATGCATTAACAAATGCCTTTATCCAAAGCGTCTTACAATAAAGGAACATAATAACACTGTTTTAAAATAATATAACATTTTTATTTTAACAAAACAGAACTATTTCAGTTTTTCTACTTCAAATGTTCATGTTTAATTCTATGTGTTACTTGCTGTTTCTTTGTAATTATTTACGAAAATTACTAGCAGTTTCTGAGTAAAAACTGATTTAAAGTTAACCCTACACCAACTTTATTTTCAGTACAATTCGTCACAGATGCAACAATATTCGTAGTGTACAATGCCAAGTTTATTAGAAAGCAGTTTGAACCAATCCATGGAAATGAATCAAAGATTTTCCATTTTTGTATCATTTTTGGGGTATTCCTGATTCCTAAAGTTAGCTGCATGGAAGGTGCATTGTTATATTGAGCACTCCAGATGGTTTATAATCACCTCTCTTGTCTCTGTACAGTCCAGTCCTGCAGCGTCAGATGCATGAATGGAGGGGTCTGTAATGAAGACGCCTGCTCGTGTCAGAAGGGCTACACAGGAAATCACTGTGGACAGCGTAAGTGAACTTCCTTTTCAGAACGTCCAGACATCAGCACATACCTGAACAGACACACACAACAATAGATGATTTCACAAGAGTTGGGCTTATAGGCACGAAAGATCTCAGAATGCATTTAAACCCAACTATATCTTTCTCTAATGCAAGAGGACTTCAACTTCCCACCTGTGGATCACTGTACTATTAATATAAATAAATATTATTCATATGAGTCCAATGTAGACCAATTTTGCTTTCTGCAGCTGTGTGTGAGAGCGGATGTCAAAACGGCGGCCGTTGTATTGGACCAAACAGATGTGCCTGTGTCTATGGTTTTACTGGACCGCAGTGCGAGAGAGGTAAGCCACTGCTATCCTTCCAAAGTTCATATTTTCTCAACTCTTAATTGTGTTGACGTCTGTGAGGATGTGCGGTTTGTTTACCGTCTCAGGCTTGCTTCAAGAATGTGGTAACAGTGTGTCAATGTGACCCAGAAACGCTCAAAAGGGTTATTTACAGTAGTTTTGAGTCAGTGTGCTTCCCCCCTTCACTGTAGCTAGTGTGAAATTAATGCTACAGTTTACATTGTGGCCACATCTCTCAGAGCTGGAACAGTGAAGTAATCTGGGGCGGAAAAAAGGCCTCCCTCATGGGTGCTCAAGACGTTCTATCAGAGGTGAAATCCTTGGCTGGAGTTATTAGAAAATGACAGACTGAAAGGACCGTAAAGGCAGTTCCCATCAGGCCGTGTGAATTGTGGGAGAGGAGCGCCCCAGGCACTCTAGACCGAATACCTAAGCCCTTTTCTGTACCCCACCCTCCTGTGTCTGGTTCTTTCTGTAACCCCACCCCTTCACGAAGCCCCCTTGTGCAATCGTAGGCCGGTTTCCTTTGAAAACCCAACACAGGGAGGTGGAAAAATTTGGGAGACATCTGGCAGTAGATAAAGTAGGGTGGAAATGACAAGGGAATGTTTCTGTGTGGAGCCGTAGACTATTCTGACAAGTAAGGGTGGGGGTGGTGGTGGTGGTGGTGGTGGGGGGGGGGGGGGGGTTCTCTAAGAAATGGAGACCCAAGCTGTGTATACCCAGCCAGGCCTGAACTAGTACAAACAACTTCACACAGAGAGAGCACCCTCCATGGGACTCTTTCCTGGGCCACCTGACAAGATTCATTCAGTCCAGACCCTCGTCTCCGAGACCCCCAGATTCCCCCTCAAGGTCCTTGCTTCTAGGATGTAAAAACGTCACACCAAACAATTAGACATTTCATTGTTAAAGAGCAGAGATAAACTCTTTATTTAGCCTGTTTCAGTCACTCCTGTTTATCATCAAGGGACTGCATTTCATAGAATTGATGAACTTCCAAAAAGATTATGCAGTTTTTCGCAAAAGGCCTGATGTCAGTCGCTCTATTTGGTTCTTACAAAGAAGCCAGAACAGTCTTCCAAGAAAGAGGTAGTAACAAAGAAATTGGATCCTGAAAACTGTGCAGCACAATAGTTGGCTGGCGTTTTTGGAAAGTCAGTCGTCTGCAGAAGAGTTTCTGCGAACACAGTGCAAGCTCAGCTGTGAGTCAGGCACGGTTTATAGGGAGAGTTAAGCAAGTTAACGGTGAGAATGGTGTTAGTCCCATCTAATTAGTTTTCCGTTTAGCTACGTGTGCTCTGTGTTATCACTTACAGTGGCCCACACTGAAGAAAGATATGCATAGTATTCATTTCACTTTCGAAGGGTAACTTTGCTCAAGGCTGTGGTCACAAGTCCATTTAAGTTGCATCAATTACCACTGTTTTGGCACAGATGCTATTGTTTTTTTGTTTGATGCAATGGATTCTACAGAAAAAGGTTTTTCCGAGCAATAAAGCGTGACTAATCCTCCTGTAACCACAAGAGTATGAATGAAAGTATTAAGGACTGAGGCTCAGTGGATTTGCTGTGGACTGACTCATTTGGGAGTCATAAAACTGTTGAAACCTTGGCTTGTTGGATGTTTGTGACAGAGATAAGATGTGAAGAGATTACCTGTCTTATTTAGCCATACTGTAAATCACTGAGCAGTAAAAGAGTTTGTTGGTCCGTCCGAGAAAATTCAAAGCATTGCACCGGAACGCTTGTGCATCTAATGTTTCCTTTCTACCCCCCTTTTTTCCTTCAGACCTACATGAATGAACTTCTGCTTCTCCCCAAGTGAAAACACATTTCTTATCTTGGTGTGTACTCTGATTAAACCAAAATAGGTCACAACAAAGTGAGCGAGCGACTTTTCCCAGTCATTGACTCTTGAGCACGTTTTTGGCTGCGTTTGAGGTTTCCACCTGCAGCTGGTCCCCGAGGCTTAACGCTCCAGACTAGATTAACTTCCCTTTGGCTGATTTTTCATATCTTATAAGGTCTTTCATGACAGTCTACTCCCTTTCGGTCCATTAGCACTGAGGATGATAAAAACACGCCAAGTCGTTGGGAGTGTGAAGAAAGCTGGAATTCCTCCTGCCAAATTACGCTGCCGCCCAGTCTTTGGACAAGTGTGAATGCCACACATCAGCTACCTCCCGAGGCATCGGTTTTTTCCCAACTTGCCTCATGATTCATGATAATCAATGCTGCTAAATAGTTGGCAGACGTCGCTGGCAGGGAAACACTGGTGACTAAACGGAAAGTAGAGGTGAGTGAGTGTTTGGTGGGATAGGGTGTAGGTGAATGGTTTTGATCTGACAAGCCACTTGAACTGTAATCAAGGCAAAATTACTTCCGAATGTTGTCTGCATCACAGACACATCCCCCCTTCTCTGGAATATGAGTCTGCTTGCTTCTGGGAAGCAAGGTCTGTGCATTACTTCCAAGTTTGCCAACGTGACATTGAGGTTAACCGGTTTCCCTTTTGCCTTGCAGATCTGTTGCTGTTGGAGATTGCAATCTCAAAAATTCTCAAATCTCAAAAGAGACCAGTCTACCGTGTTACACTGCGTATTTTCTTCTGGCTGTGTGCACGTATAAACGGTGCTGTGCTAAAGTTGGCTGATTCAAACAAGGCGACGGCTTCCGACTGATGTTGGCTGGAGCTTTCAGACTCCCGGGCTCCAGTTTCATTGCAGATCAAAGTTTTGTTAGACAGACCTGAGTAGCTTAAAGGATGTTCTCATGACAGACATTTCTCAGTACCTTCTTCATTATTGTCCTTCACTGCCGAGCAACTTATGGCATCCATGTAGTCCTCCACCCTAGCTACTTAGATGTCCAGAAACATCAACCCTTCAACTTTTTTCTTTATGTACGTAACTCGCTATTTATATGTGATTCACTACTAGTCGAAAGTCCCTAGGTTGTTTTTGCTTTTAGACACTTAAACTCACCTATAGCACTAGATTTGTTTCTTCCCAACTTGCAAAATGACCAAATCCATAAATCAAGATGATTTTGACTTTAGAGATGCATCCCAGAAGGCTTTACCCATATGAATATCATCACTCACAGTAAGAGCCAAAGCTGCAATATAGAGAGGCTGATGAATTGGAGTATTGGATATGCATGGACACATCTGGGACTTAGCTTGTCCCACCATAGTCCCGACCAGGCGCAATTAATCAATCCCAGATGTTCATAGGATGCTCGCAGTGGGTCGCCTCAACTTGGAGAGGTCCTGCATTCCTGGACTCAAATTGTCCAGGAAGAACGGTCAGGTCAGGGGAACGCAGAAGGGACGTGGAGAAGGGACAGTGAAAGGATTTAAAGACACGTGAGGAGGATATCTCTATAGTCCTTCTTCCTTTTTTTCTTTTCCTCTTGACCTACTTTCTTAGTGCCATTTCCCCCCCTCTTGGCTATGGATATATGATTTAGCTTTTGTTTCGCATGCAATATTATGAAGGATACGGAAAGATTTGTTCATTCTCTTGAGGAATGACTGGGGAAATCATGGAGTCAGGAACTCATTCATATTCCGCCAGAGTAAACCGACTCTCACAGTATACCCCAAACAAATGTGGGATCTCGTTTAATTACGTTTTCAAAACATACTAGCAAACACTCGGAAAATGCATCAGGGCATTTGTTTGAGCTTAAGATGAGTTTTATTAAACACTGAAATGACTGGATCCTTAAATGCTCAGTTTATTTCAGTGTCGAATTGGTTTGTTTGAAGCTCAAAACATCGTTAATGAGATTGAAATGTCTCAATTGGCAACCAGCACACAGGTCTAAGCAAATTGCCAAATCTCCAAATGTCAAAACAGTGCTAGTACTACTATCCCACATTTCGACCTCAGCCCAAAAAACAAGAAGGTTTGTCATGGAAATTGCCATTATTGATACCATCCAGAAATTTTCAAGCCATTATCCAGTTATCCTATTATAAGACAGTGAAAGAGAATCACTGTCAGAGCATTCCCAGACAGACCTCCAGCATTGGAAACAGCTGCATGATGGAGAAGATTTGTCTGCCAGCATTCTTTGCTTTCTTTACCTAAATGTGATTTCTTGTCCTAATTCCTTAGTCACATAGCGCTTATTAGCTTATTAGCGCTTGTCTTGTCGTATCATTGAAAGGTTTTGTCAGGCTATGGTGGCTTTCTGGTTTATTCAAGTTTAGCTAGCTAGTCAAATAAGTACCACCAAACTGGACCAATCTGACTAGTGGAAACTGGTGTCCGGCACACCATTTTAGGCTAGTTTAAACTGTTTTTATGTTGACTAATGGTTTGAGATGGTATTTTACCCCAGGAAAGTCTTGTGTGAAAAAGCTGTTGTAGCACATCCCAATGTTTTATTCATGTACTGTATATATTGATCTCCCCAACATCTCTTCATCTCTCCCACAATCAGACTACCGGACCGGGCCGTGCTTCACACAGGTCAACAACCAGATGTGCCAGGGTCAGCTAAGTGGCATCGTTTGCACCAAGACACTGTGTTGTGCCACCATTGGGCGAGCGTGGGGTCACCCGTGTGAGATGTGCCCTGCCCAACCCCAACCTTGCCGAAGGGGTTTCATACCCAACATCCGCACTGGTGCCTGCCAAGGTAAGACATTCCCTCTAGCATCTGAGCTAATAGCTCTTTCCTTCTCAGTGTCTGGCTCAGTGTCTGTTTGTTGAATTCTTGCCCTAATGACCAGCCTGACACGGCAGATGACACTAAGACATGGCCTGTCTAGGGTAAACCATACCACTCCAGTCCATGTCCAAAAGGACACTTCCCCATTGTGTTTCTTCGTAGCGTCAAATATTTAGAAGACTTCCATTAGGGGTACTTTAAATGGGATTATATAATGGCTTGTCACATTTATTTACAATTGTGGGCGTGTTGTTTGATTTTCAAGGACATAATTGGACATGATTGAATTATGTTCTCAAGGTCTGTTACACTTTATAAAGCTTATTCACTTTGCTCATGAATTTAGGTAAGGTAACTATCGCAATTAAAACATTAACAGAGACGGTTTTTGGTCAACTTTTCCCTTGCAGTGGGTGCAAGCTGTTTTATAGTATAATAGTTTTAGTTTTAGTTAACCAATAACAACTCGGATTCTGCAGCATTGCAGATGAAAAAAAACAGCTCTTCAAGTCCATTTGCTTCGCCCTCAGAGAACATTTTGTGAGCCAAAATACCAAATGCCACCCAGTCTTCACATATCATCTCAAAGACGCCCCTCCCAGTGATTATAAATGTCTCCTCTTTAACTTTTCCTTTTTATTCTTTTCCCCCTTTCAATATACAACATAAGAGACAGCTCCAAGTCTGGCCTGGATTTGCCTAAAGACGGAGTGCTTTTGCAAAAGTCTGTCTGGCTAGAGTACAAAGCACACACATGTGGGAGGATTTGTGTAACGTGCACTGAGCTTTCCAGAGTCTCTTTGCGTTCAATGGCATTTAACAGGAGAAGCTATTTTAGGACAATACCTGATGGCTTTGTGCTTATTGGATACAGGTTAAGGCCTGCCAATTATATCAATGTAAAGCAACAGGGCAAAACAGATAAATGCCGTTTTTGCGAGCTAGCCAAATATGTAAGTGCCGCTCAACACAAACAAAACCGAATATCTGTAGTTGTTCCATGAAGTCCTAAAGCGATGACTTCAGACAATAAAAAAAATGCCCAGACTGTGAGCGAACAAAGATGATACATGTTTAACCTTCTCAAATATCCTTAAAGTGATTGAAACTCATAATAGATCTCCAATTAAGAGCAGTAGATGCTGCTCTTGTTGTCGAAATTAGCATTTCCTTTCCAAACAAAGTACTGCTCATGAGATACTGAAAATGCATTACAACTAGTGTTCACACTACATATATGGGTCAAATGTGTTTGCTTACGCTCTTCTCCTCACCCTGTTAGACGTGGACGAGTGTCAGGCCGTCCCGGGACTATGTGCTGGAGGAAACTGCATTAACACCGTGGGCTCGTACGAGTGCAAATGCCCCGCGGGTCACCGACAAAGTGAGACCAGCCAGAAGTGCGAAGGTACGTCACTCACTGCACAAACCCAAAACCTGTCAGAAAACAGCATGAAGCATGATAATGATCTCACTCCTGTTCATTACTCACAATTGGAAAGAAAAGTCATGCACTTGGCGGTTTCATTGATGTTGTAAGCTTTCCAAGATGTTGACATGCATGAAATGTTGACGTCAGTGGATTTCCAATTGAATATTGGCTGGAAATAGGCTGGTTTGGCATGTAAATGTAAGGTGTAGCTGCTTGACTACGTTACTGGATTAAATACCAAGTGCTTTTATTCCGCTTAGGGTCCATCTTTAACAATAGATCGTGCCGCTTGAGTGGAATTTAAACAATGCAGAGTGAAAACAAACAGCCGTGTTGTAAAGCGGGGGTCTGCGCTTCTTGGATCCAAACCTAGACAGAGAGATAAAGAGAGAGATAGTGGATTACAGCTTTTTTATACTAGCTAAAAGGTTATTCCATACCTACCAGATATTTCTTTTTTATTTATAACCTATTTTAAATGCATTTATTCAAAAAATTTATTTTATTTCATTTTAAATGGCAAATGTGAGCATTGATTACAGCTTGCGTTTTCCTTTTCCAAGCAGTCTTTTCAAAAGTATAATATTCTGCTCAGAGGTTTGTTTCTTAGCTCCATTAGCTTGGAGACTTGATTCATGTTTCATTTAAGTATCTACTTTGTCTGAGATGTTTGTCTGAGATGTTTGTCAGAAATGTCAGAATCGTTTCTCATAGATGCATCTGGGAAGAGTGAAACTTTTATTTATTTATTTTACTTTCCCACAGTTTTCTACATGTTCAAAACTGTAAGTTAAGAGTTAAGTATGTAAAATGTTACGATTTGGCACACTTCCACGATTCCTGACCCTCGAGGTTATTAGTTTATCTCCTAATCACATTTTGACCCCGAATGACGTGGCCATTACTAAACCACCGGTTTGGAGTAGAAGCAGACCTCTGTCTGCAGGCTTCACCCAAGTAGACTTTTTCTCAAGGAAACGAGAGAGAAACTTCTGCAAATTAGATGCTCAAGTGATCACTAAAACACCCTGAACTTTGGGTTGGAATAGAAGTGCTCCTCTGTTCTTTGAAGCTGCGTGGAGGGTGGAAAAAACCCCAGGTGGTAGTTGTGGGGCGCTTAATTACAAGACAATGGTGTGGTGGAAAAAGTCTCGCCCCGGGCCAGGAGGTACATAAGGCATGAGGCACACCTCGTACTGCTTACAGGGCACTTTCTGACGAGTGGTGAGGAGACATCAATTGTTTCAGAGAAAGTTGCTCTGGAAAGTTGAAAATGTAACGCTAAGTTTGGTAACACTTTATTTTACAGTGCCCTTGTTACATGTAGTTACTGTAGTAATAACTAAATTATGCATAATTATTACATGCAACTAACCCCAATCCTAAACCTATAGTAAGTACATGTAGTTAAAGGGTTAGTTCACCCAAAAATGTAAACTCTGTCAGTAATTACTCTCCCTCATGTTGTTCAACCCCGTAAGACTTTCGTTCATCTTCGCAACACAAATTAAGATATTTCTGATTAGATCTGAGAGCTGGATCACTCCTCCATAGGCTTCTAAGGGATCGAAACTTGCCGTCCCCAGAAAAGTTATTAAAGACATCGTTAAAATAGTCCGAGTGACTACAGCGGCTCAACCTTAAGTTTATCAAGCGACGAGAATACTTTCTGTGCGCAAAAAAACAAACAAAAATAACGGCTTTATTCAACTATTAATTTCCTTCTCTGTCGGCCTCGAGTGAGTTCACGTAGTGTAACAGCGCAGCGCTTCTGTGTTGTACGTCACACACACACACACGACCAGCGTCGGCCAATAGTGAGCCTGTGTGTGACGTACAACCCAGAAGCGCTGCGCTGTTACACTACGTGAAATCTCAAGGCCAACAGAGAAGGAAATTAATAGTTGAATAAAGTCGTTATTTTTGTTTGTTTTTTGCGCATAGAAAGTATTCTCGTCGCTTGATAAACTTAAGATTGAGCCGCTGTAGTCACTCGGACTATTTTAACGATGTCTTTAATAATTTTTGGGCCGGCAAGTTTCGATCCCTTAGAAGCCTATGGAGGAGTGATCCAGCTCTCAGATTTAATCAGAAATATCTTAATTTGTGTTCCGAAGATGAACGAAAGTCTTACGGGGTTGAACAACATGAGGGAGAGTCATTACTGACAGAGTTTACATTTTGGGGTGAACTATCCCTTTAATTATTATATTCTTTAATGGCTTTATAATAACTTATTCTATGACATTTTAAGAACTCAGAATAGCCATTTTTAAGTTCTGATGTCATAGAATAGCCTTTTTTATGAAATCATAAGGATTAAAAAGTTACTGTATTTCGTTATTACAACTTAAAATGTTCTCTTATGGCATCAAGCTGTAAAACCCTTTTAGAACCTTTAATTTGAACCATTTTTAGTCCAGTTAAATGTGCAGCTAGAACCCAAATAATGGTGCTAAAAGGTCATAAACATGCTTTTGATCTTTTTTTCTCCTTTTTTTTTTTTTTTACAATGAAAAGCAGAACCAAACATAATAACATTTTACCAAAGAAACAATTGCCTCTGCAATGCAAAAACGACAAAAAGTGCTCTCCTGATGTACAGTTACGTGAACACGCAGTCCGGCAGTCATTAGCAGAGGTTTCGCCCTGAGTAAAGTCTGCTTCTGGGGCTCCGCTGACGAGCGCGTTTGTTTTGCCGAGGTTTTTATGACTTCAGCTGGGCCGTTTTCAGCTGCTGTGGGACAGCGTGACTCCTGCTTTCCAACACATCAAACACGTAATAGCTCCTCATGCTCTTCCCACATCCCGCCTCAATCTCATGCGACAAACCCGACACACAACGTCCACATATAATTTTACTAAATAAATGTAATTGCACGTGTGTATAAATATAAGAACGACACGCAATACAAACCAACCAAGCGCTTTACCATCTGTTGACCTTCGGTTTGAGTTCACTTTACGGACCATAAGGAGCGATACCAATCAATTCCCACAGGAAAGAAAAACCACAAACGAGATCTTATTTGTTTCTCCTACTATAGATGTAAATGAGAGTTGCTTCTAAGATGTTTCTCCTCAACAACAAAAAAAAAAAAACAACGCCAGAAATATCAAGTGTGTCTCCTCTTGTTTGGTTCATTCTGTTTGGTTTCTATTGGAAGACTTTAGTGTTATACTTCCCAAACCAAAATCAGTTTCTGAAAGAAAAGAGTGTGTGATATGAACTTAAAAAGGTTCGTGCGATGGCATCGAATAACCTTTTTTAAGTTCTTATGCTGCATTCGAACCTTGCAAGTTCTCAGGTCATAAGATAACCTTTTTGCCACATCATATGAATTTACAAAGTCTCTATGGCATCATATGAATGTAAAAATATCTTTATAAGTTCTTAATTCATAGGACAGCTAATTAATAATTCCCATGATGGCATTACAGAAACTTAAAAAGGTTATTCAGTGACATCCGGTAACACTTTATTTTACAGTGTCCTTGTTACATATGTTACATGTATATTTACCATATAATAACAGTGAATTATGCATAATTACATGCAACCTAAACCAAACCCTAATCCTACCCTAACCCTATAGTAAGTACATGTAGTTGCTTAATATTACTCAGATATACTTAAATATATAAATACACTGTAACAATGACACCTTAAAATAATTAAGTGTAACCCTAATTTCTTACACTGTTAAAAAAGTTGCTACCTTTACATTTTTAAGTACACTCAACTTGAATGTTTACACTACGGTTCAAAAGTTTGGGGTCAGTGAGAATTTTATTTTTATTTTTTGGAGGAAAGAAATCAATACTTTTATTTATCAAGGACAGTAAAGACATTTATAATGTTACAAAAGATTCTATTTCAAACAAATGCTGTTCTTTTGAACTTCCTATTCATCAAAGAATCCTAAAAAAAAAAAAACTGTACAACTGACAGACCAACAACAGTTTCAACACTGATAATAACAATAAATGTTTCTTGAGCATCAAATCCTCATATTATACTGATTTGTGAAGGATCATTTGACACTGAAGACACTGACACTGGTGATGCTGAAAATTCAGCTTTGATCACAGAAATAAATTACACTTTACTATACTGTATATTCACACAGAAAACAGCTGATTTACACTGGAATAATATTTAATACTATAACTGATTTTTGTTGTATTTTTAATCAAATAAGCGCAGCCATGGTTAGCAGAAGAGAATTTTTTTTAAAGTATTTAAAATCGTACCGACCCCAAACTTTTGAACGGTAGTGTAAGTCATTTCAACTTAAATTGCATTAAACTGACTTAAAATGAGTTGAATCTTAAAAAAAGTAAATAAAATGCTTAACTTATTTTGATGAGTTGACGGAATGTAAAAACGTATGTTGTTATAACTTATAGATCATGTAATGTTTTACAGTGTATAGGTCATGAAAGAACTAAGAAATGCATCACTGCTTGTTTTACGTGTTTCCGTTTCAGATATCGACGAATGCACAACCATATCCGGAGTGTGTGATGGCGGAGAATGCACCAACACCGCCGGCAGCTACGTGTGCACCTGTCCGCGGGGATACATCACCAGCACAGACGGGTCCAGATGTGTCGGTGAGACTCGTTCATCCACACACACACGCACACACACACACACGCTTGTTCCCGTGACCTTACGCTCCTGGGCCGCATCTGAGCCGTGCTTCACATCGCCTGTGTGACTCACAGGATGAACTTGTGTGCGCTTTTGTCAACCACTTCAAGTCCGGGAAAGTGTGTGTATAGCACCGTACAGTAACTTCACCAGCAAACAGGACAGAACTGTTGTTTTAAAAATCGAAATAAAGCTGGATGGGTTATTTTTTTATAGTGGCGCTAAATGCCATTTTTTGAGCAGCCCTATTCAAAAACACGATTAAAAAATGACACCTTTATTGTTACAGTGTAATTATATATTTAAGTACTGAATAATATTACTTAATAGTATAGCATTAGGGTTTGGTTTGCTCAACCAATAATGTGAGTTTGAGTTAGGACAGTATTGTTATAGTTGTATCAATATTTTGAATCAGCTTTAATATGTATATTTTATGTTAATTATTTTAGTAATTCTGGTATGTCCATTTATAATTGTATTCGTTTGTTTATTATTACTGCTATTTAGGTTTAATTTATGTTTAGTTTTTATTTATTGCGAGTTAATAATTTTATTGCTTCAACTTAAACGTAACATTTTTCATTTTCATTTAAAGTTTTTCAACTAATATTTTTTTTATTGCAGTTAACAGAAATGTTTTTAATAGTCTTAGGTTAGGTTAGGATTATCTGTTTGTCTAAACCATGACTTGACAATATTTTTGCCATTGCATTTGGTGCTCTTAGAAACATAAATTTTACGAATTGGTGTATTATTTTGAGAACTGGACATCTTTAAGTGTCAGAATTTACTCATTTTTCATTCATGTTTGTGTTAACATCTTGCTAAATTTATTCCAATCTGTGTTGTTAGAAACCGTAAAATAGTTGGTCCATTTTAGCAAAAGATGGCTCTTCTGTAGCTTCACATAAACTTAAAGTTATTCTATGATAAGAATTTAGAAGAACATTTTTAGAAATGTATTAAAAAGTTTATAGTTTATAAGAATTTCATTATAAGTATTTAAAAAAAGAGTTTGTAAGAAATTCATCATACAAATGTAATTAATATAAAATGTAATTACATAAGAAAATGTTTTCTTTTAGCATCAGGCTGTAATTTTTTTTTTTAAATCCTCAGACATGTGTTGCATTAATAAGGACATATCTTGCTCAAGGACATTTCTCTGTGCAGGATATGATTGCGAAATGAAATTAATTAAAAAACCCGGGTTGTCTGACGTGACATCTGTTGGGCGAAATATATCTTATGCTCATCTTACAATGATTGTTGTTCTCTACAAAAAGAAAAAAAAAAGTTTTTTTTCCTAAGAGCCCTTTCACACCTACCTTGTTTGGTCCGGGCTTTCAGACTTTTCAGTTTGGTCCGAATCAAAATGACAGGTGTGAAACCTCCCCCGGACCACGGTCCGGACCAAACAGATGAAATTTGGTCCGATGAAAAGAGGTAGTCTCGGTCCGGATCAAACTGAACAAAGGTTTGGTTCGTTTCTAGTGTGAAAGCATTTCTGTATGGTTCGGACTTTCAGACCTTTTACAGGAAGTCCCGGTGGTTCCCGCATAGCCGAAAAAACAGAAGGTGTCAGGAAAAATGAGCCGTGGCACATGGGGAGAGGAGGAGACGAGGTTTTTAATTGAAGTATGGTCTGATGACATAAGAAGAAGTCAACTTGCAGTCTTCTCCTCCTTTCCTGCCGGCGACGATAAAATGTTCGCACGACGAGGACGTTAATTTGGCGAATTTGAACTAGCCTTGTGTATAGTAGTTGGTGCTGCAGGTAATTATGCCATAAAAATAACAATATAGTTGCAACGATATGCGTCTGTTCATTCATGTTGTCAAAGTTACCCGCCGAATTGACAACACGCTGACGTCAGACGCACGTCCATTTACAAACCAATCAATGTCAAGATGCAGCCCACATAGATGATGACGACAGGATGTCACGTATGTCACGTAAAGTTCTTTAGTGCGCTCGCAAAATTGCAGTGTGAAACCCATAGACAGTATAAGAAGTGGACAGAGCCATCTCATTGGAACTCAGTTGAGACAGTTGAAGCCCATTTTTAGCGATTTTTGAGCACTTCCGTTCCTGACGCGCAGACTCAAACCGACTCAAACTAAGCTTGATGACGTGAGCAACCTGTCTGACAGACGTTAATCTTCTAGTAGCTGTGCGTGAAAATTGCCAACGTTAATCTTGCAGAGACGGGGAACTTGAGCAAAGAGTTCTTTGGCGTGAGTGAGCAGGAGTAAGTATCCCGTTGCTTTTATGGACTCATTATCTATGGGCTTCTCTCTTGACGGGACGTCCCCCCGATTGCCTGCGAGCTTCTCCTCCTGTCTGTACGGTAATTTCTGTACAGCGCGACAGAGTCGAGTGGTTATGACGCAATCGTTAGCCTATTTTTACTAAATCTGTTTCTACGGGGCCATAATGTAACATAGAAGGTAATAATGGAGCCCTTTATATATTGTCGTGTTTCTTTAGAAATAAATAATGGACAAATGGAGTCTTTAAACGCCTCAGATGTAAAGTTATTCGCTGTCAAAGTGACGCCAAAATGAATGGGAGTCAATGGAAATGCTAACGCAAGTGAAGTTCTGCTACAACATGGCGGCACCCGGCCGGCTTCAACTTCCGGTCGATGGATTACCCCCTTGGTGAAACCAAACCAAAACTTTCTGAAAGTATAAAATGTATCAAAACGTGAACTTTGGTTCGGACCTTGGTGCGGACTTTCAGGTGTGAAAACGCCCTTATTAATCTTTCATCAGAACTTTCTGAGAAAAAAACACGAGCAGAGACAACTTCTGCATAAATTATTATATTAAGAAAAAAAGTTGACAATATTATTGGTTTTACAAATAATTGACTTGGAAAATATATTCGGCTTGTTTCATGAATGCATCATTTTATGTACAAACAAACCGTTCTGCCCTTTCTTTTCTGTCCACGTCACAAAGATCACATGCACTGGCAAATATAAATGTAGTTATAAATGTCGCCTTTAATAAGTTGTGCAAAGGAAACCATTTGAATCCAGACTAACTAGTCCTTCTTTAGTTTGAAACCAGACTGGTTTGATCGATCATCAGAGCACAATGGTGAAAATAGAGCCACATGGATGCTATGTCCTCCTGCTAGCATTCCAGTACAGTGAGGCAAACACATTGTTGACTCTGGCAGGGCCTTTGTCTTTTCCCCTCACACTCCCTTCTCTCTATATATCTGTGTATATCCATACTCGCCGTCTTGAGTTTCTCATACGTCTCTCGTGACGCCCTGATCTGACGGGTCCCCGAGTGCGAATAAAGAAACGTGAGGTATCGGCTCTGGATGACGCGTTGATACATTCCCAGAAACCCGTCTGGATTTGCAGCAAATGTTAAGTGAACATATGGATCCCGTCATGGTGGAGAACATCTGTATGTGTTTCTGTATGTTGACATACACGATTAAGATTGTAGTTAGAAGCCAAAACATTTTTTGGTTTTGGAAATTTGGCGTGAAATCAAATACGACCCCGTTACTATTACTTTCGTAATGAGTGTTATTGGTTACTTCTAGGATATATTTGAAATTGAAAATGCATCTTTTCTCTAGATTTTGGCCGTCTGTCCTCACAAAGACATTGTTTTTTGTCCTGCGAAGACTGTGAAAATTGAGGTTTTAGTCATGCGACACATTTTGTACCCATAGATATTATAGTTATATCGGCATTGTTGTGCCTGCTATTTAGTTTCATAGTGTTGTTAAAAATATAATATTACATTCATACCATATTACACTCATGCAAAGATGACCAAAACATGAGGGAATTTGTGTTTTAGACCAATAAAATGATTGTGGCGAACTTTATTATGTCTGGTCTCTCGTCATCATCTCAGTGAGTGTTTATTGCATTTTACGCATGCACTGGAAGATGATTTAAGCATTTACCGATGTTTCTAGCGTCGTTCTCAAATGCATCCGTAGACGTAGCCATCGTGAGCGTTTCATCAGTGCAAGATATTCCAAAGAAGCTGCAAATGCCAACGAGCTGTTCAGACATTGTTTTAGGCCAAGAAAAGTTTCGTGCTATCATTGCGTTCGCCCCCTGGCTGGTGCTCTGTATCGCACAGGACCAGGCCGTAGGGAGTCATTTAGCCTGACGCTAATCAGCGTTAATGCACCGTCGAGACATGTACGAACACGAGAAATCTCACGTCAGAAGGTCTGGTTCCAATTGAAGCCAGCATTCCCATCACCAGGCTTGCGAACCCCCCCGGCCGGGTCGATCCCAGGGGGTTGTAGTTCTGGAGTGAGCGCCTGCAACCTCCAGACGAAGGGTTGTGTCCGACGTAATTGGCCAAGATTACTCCACACGGACTTGATTTATGGCAGAGTGCTGGCTCATTAGCCGAGTTAATCGACTTTCACCCCCTTTTCCACATGGTTCAGACACACTAATGTAGCAGTGTATGCAAACTAGTACGTACCCGATCTCAACCAGCCCTCTCGTTGACCTTGACTGGCTGAAGCGTCCCATCTCAAGCTTGTTCCCGAACCATGCTTTTAGTCCTCCAGTGGCCTTCCCAAGCTCCCACCTCATAAATTAACTTCCTGCTAGGTGTAAAGGGCATGCGAGGGCCTGACTTCCTGTGAAGTGTGACTGTACTCTCGAGAAAAGCACTTGTGGTATTTGGAGGTTTAATGCACAGTTGAATAGTACAATTTACATACAACATATTCTGTATATAAAAGGTAACACTTTACAATAAGGTTCGTTAGTTAACATTAGTTAACTACATTACCAACTAATAATAAACTGCACGTATACAGCATTTATTAATCTTTGTTAATGTTAATTTCAACATTTACTAATACTTTATTAAAATCGTGTTCACATGAGTTAATGCACTGTGAACTAACAATGTACAGCTGTATTTTTATGAACTAACGTTAACAAAGATGAACTATTACAGTAGCAAATGTATTGCTCATGGTTAGTTCATACATTAACTAAAGTTAACTAATGAACCTTATTGTAAAGTGTTACTGTATAAAATGAACGTATTGTAAACAGTATAGTATGCTGATCTCTCTATCTCGCTCCCTGTCACAGATCATCGGGTCGGTACGTGTTTCTCGTCTTTGTCGAACGGCCGGTGCGCGGGTGAATTGTCCGGTCAGTTCACCAAGGGACAGTGTTGCTGCGACACGGGCCGCTGCTGGGCCCTCGGACACATCCCAGAGATGTGCCCCGTCAGAGGATCTGGTGAGTAGGCTAATGCTAATCAGTAGCAGTGTTTGCTAAGTCAAAGGTTACTACTACTATTGCTAATATCAGACACTGATATGTCAGCACATTTTAGAACTTTTTAGTCCTTTTTAATGGCATCCCAGTTTGCTTATTTATCTACTATTCTATGCCGTTTGTAGTATAAATAGTGTGAAAAGTGAAAATTCCACTGTTCATACTGAAAATTCCAAAAATTCTGAACATTCCAAAAAGATAAAGTGCACTTTAAATGATGCACTTAACTAACTGGAAATGGAATGTTGTGGAATGTTGATGCGCTCAACTGTCACATCTTTCCTTATAAGGGAAGGGGGAGGGGCTAACAGACTCTGGTGTTCAATGACTAAATAACCGTATACAATTCTAAAGGTTATACGTGCGTAGTGTGTAGCATGTCATTAGGGACTCATGTCTGTTAGTTTTGAGGCTAACATCTGTATGCTAGCATACCCCTAAAAGATATTTAGCGAGTAGTAAATTTCCAAAAATACTGATGACATCATCCTGGGTCTATATTTTGTCCAATAAAATGGTTTCTTGAATGAAAACGTCCCACCTGCCTCTGAATAGCGATAGCAAGTAGTGTAGTTAATGTTGGTCAAACTATTTCTAAAAAGAACCAGACTTCCTTTTTCAACAGGATGTGCAGCAATACAGCAAGTTTTGTGTGGTATTTTAATGTGGTTCTGAACCGCACAAAGTAAATTACACAAAAACATCATTTCAAATGGAAGGATTTCTTCAGATGTTTGACCCTTTGAAGAACCGCTCCAGACGTGCCGTACCTCACTGTAAAATCCCGATAAACACGTGTCAGGTCAGCAGTGATCTTCCCTCAGGATAATAAAACGCTCTCTTTCAGTCCCACGCCTTCACACCCCAGTGTTTTACGCTCTTCCCTCCTCTTTGACACCGCCATGTTTCATCCGCAGGAATGCACGAGCCAGACGGCTGCCAAATCCGCGGCTAACGCTTCGATTTTTCTACTTTCATTCAGTAGAGCTCAGTCTGCGCATTATCTACTTGTTTTCCATGTTGAGCAACTTATATAAAATGTATTAGTTTGCATTCAAAGTAGGCACAATTGCAACATGGTATACAGGCAAACCTTCAACATTTCTCACACTATCAAAGTTTATTCGCTGTAGTTTAGAAAATGGTGATCAAGAACTGATAGCTTTGAGCAAATTGGTCAGGTCAAAGTGTCTGAATAATGTTTGGTCCCAAATTCGTATAAATGTCATTCTGTATGAAGAATTTTTGGGTATAATATGTCACAATTTACTTTATTTTGCTCTCCTCACTTACATAAATTGACTATAGTGTCCTGCACACACTAGTAAATTTATATCAGGTGTCTGATTTTTTTTTGGTTTGACTGTAAATTGCAATTCAAAAACGATGTCTTCCTGTGATTGGCAGCTTGTTACAGTGTCTATTGTTGATTTGTAGATGAATACAGGCGACTGTGCATCCAGAGGCTTCCTTTTGGCACCAGCAATGGCGGCATCATCCACGACGGCAACGGCGGTCTGAACATCGGCGGTTACGGCAAAGGACCCTCGCAGAACGGAAACAACGGTGGTGGCGGCTACATATACGGCGGCGAACACACCAATGGAAACGGACACGGACACGGAAACGGGAACGGAAACGGCGGCCAGAAGATTCAAATCAGTGAGTTGAAGTTGCCGGGTTTTCCCAGTGAAATGAACAGAGAAATTAACGGTGTGTTTTCGTTTGTGCTCAGGCCAGCTGAACGAGACCACGATCGACGTGTGCAAGCATTTCACCAACCTGTGCCTGAACGGCCGCTGTATTCCCACGCCGACCAGCTACCGCTGCGAATGCAACATGGGCTACAGGCAGGACGTGCGCGGGGAGTGCATCGGTGAGCCCATGTATTTTTTGCATCTAAAAAGTCAGGGGAAAAAAAGTGTTTCCTGAACTGGCGAATGTAGACATGGGGCCCTATTTTAACCATCTAAGCTCATGGTCTAAAGCGCAAATGCACTTAGGGTGTGTCCAAATCCACTTTTGCTAGTTTAACGGCGGGAAAAATGGTGACCACATTTTTAGACTTTTTTCCAAGATGGCTCCGGTCTGTATGCGCTAACTGTACTGTCTGTGTAAAGTATCTTCTTATTAAACTGTCTATACACTTACAAAGTTCTCAATGCTTCGGTTTGCATGTAAGGACACTCATTATGCTGCTGTGTTAGTGTGGGGCTAATTTGAGCCTTGTTAATGGTATTAACTAGCGATCTCTTTTTGCTTACTCGATGCCCAATATACTAGCGTTATAAGCTAAACTGTTTTTAGAGATAAAACTCTTTATATTCGATTATCATGAAAACAAATCTCAGGGAACGATTTAGTCTGTACCAATGTGTTATTACACCCGTGGTTCATTTTGCGCCGGAGTTGTCCTTTAATGAGTAATGGGTGTGTTTAGGGCATAACGTGCAATAAACCAATCAGAGTCTCATCTCTCATTCCCTTTAACAGCCAGTTGCGCTCGCGCCGCGGCGGATTCGCTATTTAAATGGCGGAATTTGCAAGCGGAAAAACTGAACGGTTCTCTAGCGAGGAAACGGGTCTGCTCGTGTGTGAGGTTAAAGCTGTGTGTGAGTGTGTGTGTGTGTGTGTGTGTGTGTGTGAGTTTAAAGCGCTTAAGCAGACAATCTACGGGAAGCATCGGATTCCACCATATCTTTCTGTACACAATATTAATCTTTAACATTGTAATCCTTTTATTTTTAATATTTGTCATGTTTGCGTGCTGCTGTGCGTCCCTGTGTGTGTAATAAGCAGAGTGTGTGTGTAATAAGCCAGTGGTTCCCAACCTTTTTTTGTCTGAGACCCCCTTTTTCCCAAGAAAATATTTGAGGGCCCCCCTTCACATTTAATGATATTATCGCTCTTGTAAGCTTGCAGCAAGGATGACAAAATATGTTGTTTTCAAACAAACGGTATGTTTACTATATCCAGATATGTTTATGCACAAATAATAGCCTATAATATTGAAAATACAATGACAAAAACATCAGCAGGCCCTTTGTAATTTAAAAACGTAAGCCTAGGAGAAGCCCATATATTGGCCCTATTTGAAATCCCAAGACAAAAATATTCACAGTGGTGTGTAGGTATAAAAAAAAGAAAGAATATAGGCTATTACTAAATGACTGTTGTCTGGGCCCTCAATACTTGCAAGTTATTTGTGAGGCTTTATTTTTTACGCTTTTGGCGCTATAGCGAGCGATAATAAACTTGCGTTTATTAACAGAAAAATGCAGAACATTGTAGCCGGAACTACTTCTCTCTTTGTGTACGTCTATGACGAGTCACGCATGGGCTACTCCGCAGCGGCAGCGATCCGAACCAGTGTAAAATAGTCCCAATGTAAACACCTATTATAGGTGTACCATAGTGGTTCAGGATAAGACAAAAACACGGATTGGAAAATGGATTCATGATGAACTCGCTCATTATATAAATTTTGTACATTTTGAACAGAAAAAAGTTAAGGACTTTTATTTAATGCTCATTGCTCAAAACATTTCAAAATATGACACGACCCCCCACAGAGCCCCCCTTGTGGGCCGCGACCCCCCTGTTGGGAACCGATGTAATAAGCAGATTGTGTGTAATAAGCACACGTTGTGGACCCGCCTATAGGCGCATATTACTATTGCGCCCTTTAAATAACAAAGAAATAAATACTGCACACCATTGACTTTAGACCAGGTTTTTGTTGGTCAATGGCTCAGTCTATTTCAGTTTCCTCAAAATAGCAATGCGCCTGAACACACTCGTTTTCAGACCAGCAGCCCATGGGCACACAGATGGGCGCAAATGCATTTGCTATTTAAACAACGCAGGACGAGAAATGATAACTGCGTCGGGCTGAAACTAGCAAAGAACGCTTGCATCGTTTGCATAGGGCCCATGGTCTAAAACAGGGGTGCCCAATAGTTAATCTCCAACCCTAATCAAACACACCTGAAGCAACCAATCAAGGTCTTCAGGATCACTTGGAAATGAAAGCCAGGGGTGTTTGATTAGGGCTGGAGATGAACTGTGCAGCAGCAGGATTGGGCACCCCTGGTCTAATACGTCCTCTGCTGCCATCTGTAGGTGGTTTGCTTGCCTGCCAGTATTTTAACTCACATAATTGATTAATAGTGACTCATACATCTGTCTTCTACCCTCAGACGTGGACGAGTGCAACAGTAACCCGTGTGTGAACGGAGACTGCGTCAACACGCAAGGATCGTATCACTGCAAATGCCACGAGGGATACCAGGGAACGCCGACCAAACAGGCCTGCATTGGTTTGTGACGTCTTATTCTGGTCGAAAACCTATTTTATGCCAAAAACTTTTGATGACTAAAAAACTGCCTTAAATATAAAATATCATTACAGTATTTAGTCTCATGCTTCGGGCCTAAATTATTATTTAGGGCCTTATTATAATTATTTAAAGCAATTTTTTACTCAAACTATAACAAAAACTTATACTTATAACTAAAAGATGCTTAATACTAACTAGACAGTTAATGCATATTTTAATTTCAGAAAAAATATATATAGTATATATATATTTTTTAATTGAAGATGATATTACTTATTTTAGTATTATTTATATGATTTATTATTATACTATTATATTATTTATTAATAATTTTAATTAGCTTTAACTTTATTTTTTCAGTTTTTAATTTAATTTAGTTTTAGTAATTTTGTTGTGCTTTTTGTTATTTTTATTTCAGTTTTAGGAATTGTTTATTGGAACTTAAACTTGCTTTACTAAAATTATTTAAATAACTCGAATGAAAATTAGCAATTTAAAGTTAAGGTTTTTTTTTATTTAATATTGATATTGTATTTAATTTCAAGTTTTTAATTATTTTTTATAGTTTGAATTTTATTTTGAACACTAGATTTTTTTTTTTTACATTTGACATTTTAAAAGTTATTTTGCATCACACACTAAACAGACAAAAAACTACCAAATAATGTGACTATGACAGTTTAATGTGAATAATCCATTTTCAAAGAATCAAAGTCAGCATATATTCACTTATACGGCCCAGCGCCCTCTGGTGGACAACTGTAACTAACACATTCCTGTTGCTTCAGACATTGACGAGTGTATCGTGAACGGGGTTATGTGCCGAAACGGACGCTGTGTGAACACCGATGGAAGTTTCCAGTGCATCTGTAACGCTGGCTTTGAAATCAGCCCTGATGGGAAGAACTGCGTCGGTAAGAGCTTAAACTGCCACATACTGTGTTGAGCAATCTGAAAAGCCTCATATATATATATAAAATTAGTTTTTTTCAATAACATTTCATATTTTTGTGTTTTCAAACAAAGTTTCACAGTGTTTGGTTGTACACTATAAAAACCTGCATTAAAATGTTTGAATAAAAAGTTTCAGGGTTTGCGTTTAGGGTTGGTGGAGGGCGTTAGAAGGTCCACAAAATAGTTTTTCATTAATGATTTTGACAGATACAAACACAACTCAAATCCACCATTTGTTTTTATAGTCTAACGGTGTTTTCTTGTCCTCCAGACCATGATGAATGTGCCACCACCAACATGTGCCTCAACGGCATGTGTATCAACGAAGACGGAAGCTTCAAGTGCATCTGCAAACCTGGTTTTGCGTTGGCACCCAATGGACGCTACTGCACCGGTGAGCATGTGTGGGAGTTACTTTGACGGATTATTAAACCCCAGAAACGGTTTACTCACCCTCATGTCTGTCAAGCGTAATAAAAGTGCCAAGAAAATAGTTTAGTAACTTGTATGATATATTCCAAGTCTATATGTTAAGTCATACGATAGTTTTCTAAAATCTCATTTCCATTTGCGCATTTTTGCAAGTTTGATGTCAAATCTTACGTAACGCATTTTGTACGTCTTCGGTTCATACAGTGACCATTTTTCATGAAGTCTTTAATCAAATTTTAAGTCGTTATTTTCTGAAAATCTATCATACGATAGTTCTGTGTGAGACACAGATGGTAAGTCGCTAAAATTTCTCATTTTTGCAAGTTTGACGTCAAATCTTACGTAACGCATTTTGTACGTCTTCGGTTCATATGGTGACCATTTTTCATGAAGTCTTTAATCAAATTTGAAGTCGTTATTTTCTGAAAATCTATCATACGATAGTTCTGTGTGAGACACAGATGGTAAGTCGCTAAAATTTCGCATTTTTGCAAGTTTGACGTCAAATCTTACGTAACGCATTTTGTACGTCTTCGGTTCATACAGTGACCATTTTTCATGAAGTCTTTAATCAAATTTTAAGTCGTTATTTTCTGAAAATCTATCATACGATAGTTCTGTGTGAGACACAGATGGTAAGTCGCTAAAATTTCTCATTTTTGCAAGTTTGACGTCAAATCTTACGTAACGCATTTTGTACGTCTTCGGTTCATATGGTGACCATTTTTCATGAAGTCTTTAATCAAATTTGAAGTCGTTATTTTCTGAAAATCTATCATACGATAGTTCTGTGTGAGACACAGATGGTAAGTCGCTAAAATTTCGCATTTTTGCAAGTTTGACGTCAAATCTTACGTAACGCATTTTGTACGTCTTCGGTTCATATGGTGACCATTTTTCATGAAGTCTTTAATCAAATTTGAAGTCGTTATTTTCTGAAAATCTATCATACGATAGTTCTGTGTGAGACACAGATGGTAAGTCGCTAAAATTTCGCATTTTTGCAAGTTTGACGTCAAATCTAACGTAACGCATTTTGTACGTCTTCGGTTCATATGGTGACCATTTTTCATGAAGTCTTTAATCAAATTTGAAGTCGTTATTTTCTGAAAATCTATCATACGATAGTTCTGTGTGAGACACAGATGGTAAGTCGCTAAAATTTCGCATTTTTGCAAGTTTGACGTCAAATCTTACGTAACGCATTTTGTACGTCTTCGGTTCATATGGTGACCATTTTTCATGAAGTCTTTAATCAAATTTGAAGTCGTTATTTTCTGAAAATCTATCATACGATAGTTCTGTGTGAGACACAGATGGTAAGTCGCTAAAATTTCGCATTTTTGCAAGTTTGACGTCAAATCTAACGTAACGCATTTTGTACGTCTTCGGTTCATATGGTGACCATTTTTCATGAAGTCTTTAATCAAATTTGAAGTCGTTATTTTCTGAAAATCTATCATACGATAGTTCTGTGTGAGACACAGATGGTAAGTCGCTAAAATTTCGCATTTTTGCAAGTTTGACGTCAAATCTTACGTAACGCATTTTGTACGTCTTCGGTTCATATGGTGACCGTTTTTCATGAAGTCCTTAATCAAATTTTAAGTCGTTATTTTCTGAAAATCTATCATACGATAGTTTTGTGTGAGACACAGATGGTAAGTCGCTAAAATTTCGCATTTTTGCAAGTTTGACGTCAAATCTTACGTAACGTATTTTGTACGTCTTCGGTTCATATTGTGACCGTTTTTCACGAAGTCTTTAATCAAATTTTAAGTCGTTATTTTCTGAAAATCTATCATACGATAGTTTTGTGTGAGAAACAGATGGTAAATCGAAAACAATTGCGCATTTTTGCAAGTTTGACGTCAAATCTTACGTGACGCGTTTTTGGTTCTCGCATCTAGTGAACATTTGTCAATGAAGTCTTTAATGACCAAAATTTAAGTCGCTATTGCCTGAAAATCGTTCCGTCAGCTCAACACTTCAATCTCCTTTGCATTCGCGTATACATACGCTATATTGTCCTGAAATCATACGATCGTTATGTGCGAGAAACAGATAGTAAATCGCTAAAATCTCATTTGCACTTGCACATTTTAGCTAAGTTGCGTTCACGTTATTTTGCACGTCAGTGGTGAATGTTTGGCGTCAATTGAGGAAAAGTCGTTAAAAAAAAGAGAACCAATGAGATTCGTTGTCACTGATGTCAAACCTGATGCCTCAAGACATATGACGCTAGTTTTCATGTCAGTGAAGTCAGATGTCATCGGTTGCGGCTTTAATGACCGTTTGTTATTGACGTGTTGTTCGCTAACGTTTGTTGTTCGCTCTGTTTCACCCTGACAGACATTGATGAATGCCAGACCTCGGGCATCTGTATGAACGGCCGCTGCGTGAACACCGAGGGCTCTTTCCGCTGCGAGTGCCCGCCAGGCCTGGCCATCGGCGTAGATGGGCGTGTCTGCATAGATACTCACATGCGCACCACATGCTACGGCGCAATAAAGATGGGCACGTGTTCGCGCCCGTTCCCCGGGGCGGTGACGAAGTCTGAATGCTGTTGCGCCAACCCAGAACACGGCTTCGGAGAACCCTGCCAACCCTGCCCGGCATTCAACTCAGGTAGACTGCAGGGATACACCTTCCAGTCCAGAACGATATTTTAATATTAACGCTAAATATGTTAGCTTTGACTTGTGTGCTAACAGGTAGCTAACATTTTGTTTGTCCTCAGCCGAGTTTCAGGCGGTGTGCAGCAGCGGACCTGGGATCACCGCAGATGGACGAGGTAAGTTTGTCTTCGTGTCTTCGTTACTATGCTAGTATGTTTGTAAATGCTAAACGCTAACGGACTGTATTCGATTTCTTTGCGAATGCTAAATGCTAACGAACTGTATTAGATTTCTTTGTGAATGCTAAACGCTAACGGGCTGTATTTGAATTCTTTGCGAATGCTAAATGCTATAACGAACTGTATTCGATTTCTTCGTAGACATCAATGAATGTGCTTTGGATCCAGACATCTGTCAAAACGGTATCTGCGAGAACTTGCGCGGGAGCTACCGTTGCATCTGTAACATCGGCTACGAGTCTGACGCTAGCGGAAAGAATTGCGTGGGTGAGTTGCGTTACTTTTTTTTAAATTACGCAAAACGTAGCTTCTACTAATGTTTTGTTTTATGTACAAAATACATTTTTTACAACATTTGAACAACATGCACTAACACCCAGCAAAAATTTGATTAATTTAGTGAATTTCTTGCGCATCTTTCAGACATTAACGAGTGTTTGGTGAATCGCTTGTTGTGCGACAACGGCATGTGTAGAAACACGCCCGGAAGTTACACTTGCTCTTGCCCCAAAGGATTCTCCTTCAAAGCCGATTCTGAGACATGCGAAGGTAACTACGACTCCTTACAACAATTTTTAAAAAAAATCTTTTTTCATAAATTTATATCGTAATGTCATATATTTCGTTCAGACATCAACGAGTGCGACTCCAACCCCTGCATCAACGGCGTGTGCCGCAACATAGCCGGTTCCTTCAATTGCGAATGTTCCCACGGCAGCAAGCTGGACTCCACCAACACCATCTGCGTAGGTGAGTACGAACATTCGTTTTAGGCTATAGAACAACGCGGTTTTATGCTAGCAGAAGTGTCCACAGCGAGTTCTCTGATTGGTTAATCTCTTATGGATAGTTTTTTAAAAATTGCACAGAAGATGCTAAACAAGCAACCAACCACTTCTTGAAAGATTTTATTGTGCTACATTAACATATCCCAATGTTGTTTATTTCCTTTTTAAAGGTAGCTGGATAACATTCTGCTACTTCTATCCATTTCTAGCCAGGCGTTTTTTTATTCTTTGTCTGAAACTGAACATCGTTTGATTGAAATTAATGGAGTATGAAGGCAATAGGTCACACGGTTGTGCTTTCAGGATGAATGCCCACTGTGATCTCATCCCGCTAGATATCCAAGTTGGTTTTTATATATCTGCAGAAATGCATCGATTCTCCACAGGGGAGCCGCTTCAAATGTCACAACGTCCATTTGTCATTGTCACACTTTCTTGGTTCTCATGCACGTATTTGCCTCATACAGACAGCATGAAAGGAACCTGCTGGCTGAACATCCAGGACGGCCGCTGTGAGGTGAATATAAACGGGGCGACGCTGAAGTCCGAGTGCTGCTCTACGCTGGGGGCGGCCTGGGGAAGCCCATGTGAACGCTGTGAAATCGGTTAGTTCATATGCAAAAACAAACCAAAAATTATATATATGACACAATTGAAGAAAAGAAATATATCATTTTTATGTTTTATAATAATTTAAAAATACGATTTCATCATTTTAATTTTTTAAAATATATATAAATGTTTGAAAATTATTTGAAATATAACTTTTGCTTTTATATATATATATATATACAATTTTATTTGTATTTTTGATTATAATTTATATATCATTTTTTATTATTTACAAAATAAATTTTTGATTATATAATATTTAATATATAATTTGCTTATATATAATCTTATTTTCATTTTTTTTATTGTAATTTATATATTTTTTAGAATATATATAAATATATTTCAAAAATATATATTATTTGATATATAACTTTTGCTTATATATAATTTTATTTGTATTTTGATTATAATTTATAAATATTTTATCATGTAAAACATTAAAAATTATATATATTTTAGAAATTAATTTTATATATAACTTTTGCTTATATATAATTTTTTTATTATTATAATTTATATATACTTTTTTTATCATTCTTTATTTTTATTTTACTTATTTTTATTCTATAATATTTAATATATAACTTGCTTATATATAATCTTATTTTTATTTTTTATTTTATATATATATATATATATATATATATATATATATTAGAATACATTCAATTTTTTTTACATTTGATATATAACTTTTGCTTATATATATAATTTTGTGTATTTTTGTTATAATTTATAAATAATTTTTATCATTTAAAAAATATATATATGTATTTTTGAAAATTATTTGATACAGAACTTTAGCATAAATATATATAAGTTTATGTTTTTAAGATAATGATACTTGGGAGACAAAATTACAGTGAAATGTATATACAGCATATATGTAATTTTGTCTTCGAAGTATCATTATCTTAAAAACACGCTCACATACACATAGTAAACCGTATTGACAAGTGTTTGTTTTTATTAAACAAGTGTTTGACTGATATTTTCTACAGATCCTGCCTGTTCGAAAGGTTTCGCTCGCATGAAAGGTCTTGTGTGTGAAGGTAGGTGCGACCCATAATCCCTTGCTGCATTCAGCTGGTGCGCTGCATGACGATGCATAACTTCTCTGCTCCGTCTTCAGATATTAACGAGTGTGAGGTTTTCCCCGGCGTGTGCACAAACGGCCGGTGTGTGAACACCCAGGGCTCGTTCCGGTGCGAGTGTGCCGAGGGACTCACGCTGGACGGAGCCGGACGCACATGTGTTGGTCTGTGAACTGAACATGCATTCAATATTTAATCTGACTTATTTACACAAGTATAAAAATAATTATCACTTCAGCCGGGTGCACACTGTGCGATTTATAATCAGTCCCTCCAGAAAAACGCGATTATGCGATCGCATGATTTAGTGCATAATCAGCCAAAGTCCGCATATTTATGCGGGGGCATTTTTTCAAATACGCCGCACTTTCGCCGCATAAATTGCCGATTTCCGTGCAAAATACGCGGGGCTTGCATGATTTCATAATCCACGGGATTGAAATGGTGGCTACAAAGAAATCTCTAATGTTCCTTTGGGTCACTTGTCTTGAAAAAGTCGTAGGAGGGTCACACCGCAGGACTGAGGCAAATCTTTTAAGAGGTAAAATTCAATCGCAACGGTCATCGTTAATCCGCTGTCGGTGAACAGGTCACACTTACGATCAAAGACTTCAGATTTTAGCCTATAGGATCAGAGGAATCTTTTAGAATTTGCATAAATTTGTCTCAGACGGCCAAAATCGCACAGTTTGAACCCGGCTTTACCAAGTCAAACTTTCCCTTGATCCAAAGCTGTATGTAAAGCGTGTGTGTGTGTGTCCCGCAGACATCCGAAGCGAGCAGTGTTACATGAAGTGGGACGAGGACGAGTGTGTGGAGCCGCTGGCGGGCCGTTACCGGGCGGACATGTGCTGTTGTACGGTGGGAGCGGCGTGGGGCGTCGACTGCGAGGCGTGTCCCAAACCAAACACTCCCGAATATAAGAGCCTCTGCCCTCGAGGACCCGGCATCGCCAACCGAGGAGACATCCTGACTGGAAGACCCTTCTATAAAGGTCGTTTATTCATGGAGATCAACGGATGTAGAAATCTTGACCGATGTGATGACGGGAACTGTTTTGGATATTGCCGATATCAACATTTGAAAACATTGTTTCAGCCGATCATTTTTAAAACACTAATATCTGAAACCGATACTATGGCTGACATTATATATTTTACTACCATAAAACATGACAAATTATTAATTTTATATATTTTTATTATAAAATTATATATATATTTATGATTATTTCAGACAAAACCAAACTATCCCTAAAATACGTATTATTATATATATATAAATATTTTCTTGTTTTATTTTTTTCAACTGAACCAATGAACCGAGATTTTGTTTGTCTGAAGTTTGGGAACATTGTGAATAACACTTATTTATCCTTCTTTATTGCATATTATTATTATGCATTATCTATATTTGGGCTTTATATAATATACATTTTTTTAAAAAAAAATCTTATAAAATTATATAAAAATTTACTATATATATATATATATTTATTTTTTATTTATAGATTTATTGGTTACCAACAGCATAATACATAATTTTATTAAAGATGAATATATTTTTAAATCAAAACTTTCACATTTTACACTTTATTAAAACTAGCTTAATTTATTCAAACTTATAATTAAATATCAATATTCATTTATTTCATTAGTATTATTAGTGTCTTTTATTAGTTAAGTTATACCCTAAGTTACAGTTTATAAGTTAACATAAATATACCATATATAATAAATAGTATTAGAAGTAGTAGCAGGATTACCACCGTTTAAATATAAATGGATATATTAAAACGTAAAAAATATATATTGGTAAACACTTTATTGTATAGTTACATGTAGTTACTGTAATAAAAACTATAAATTATGCATAATTACATGCATGTAAACCCAATCCTAACCCTACAGTAAGTAAATGTAGTTAATAATTATTATTACGCAGTACTTAAACGTATAATTACACCTTAAAATAAAGTGTAACCACATTATTCACAGCAATTTTACAGATTTTTCTGCAATTTTGTCCGTTACAATCACACTGACATAAACAAATCAGACCGTATTTGAATATTGCTCATATTTTTGAGTGTGTGATAATGATGTAATAATCAAAGACTTTAGAAATAGAGAGACGTTGCACTCATATGACTACGACTGGGAGAAAGTGTAGAGTCCCTAAGAGTTTAATAAAGCCGTGGGGTCATGGGTTCCCCATTCAGACACACAGGAGCTGTGCTCGCGGGACTGAAACCGCCGGGTCTGAGAGACGGGACTGTCCTAAACCCTGTTTCTCCTGTAGATGTGAACGAGTGCAAGGTGTTCAGAGGCCTGTGCACTCACGGGACGTGCCGAAACACCATGGTGGCGAGCCTTCAAGTGTGTGACAGTGGCTTCGCCCTC